GCCATATGGTTGAGTTGTCACGCAGTCGGTGGTAGATATTGCGTTATGCGGCACAAAATGCATGAATGCCGGTTGAAAAACCTGCATAGCGTCTAGATGAAGGGAGCTCCAAACCCCATTGACTAAATACGAGAAATGTGGATGTGGGATAGTACAGAGCTTATGCGAGCTTAGCCAAAGAAAAGCCAGATTGAGGTGAGCAATGCATGGATAGGATTGCGTGCCTGCAGGACGCGATGGCGACTCGTGCGGCACCACCCGATGAATCGCGATAACGGCAACGACCCCAAAATGACACGAGAAAGAAACAATAAAATAAAACAAGAATGTGTACAGTTCATTTCTCTCCGAGAGCATTGCTTGTATGTGGTCCTTTTAGTGGGTCCTCCACGTTTTGTCCATCACAGGTCCCATATACCGAACAGACGCGCAAACATACTTTTAAGCCAAACCAAGATGACGAACAGCGAAAATAATAAAAAGCAGATCATATTGAATGCTTTCGTGATGAACACCCCGGGCCATCTGGCACCGGGGCTGTGGAAACATCCGAGAAACAAGACCGACCAGTATAAGAAACTATCGTTTTGGACCGAACTAGCGCAGTTGTTGGACAATGCCGGATTCCATGCCATGTTTATCGCCGATACCCTGGGCCCATACGATGTATACAAGGGCCCTGCCAATGTGGTCCCTGCATTAGCATCAGGAGCGCAGTTTCCGGTCAATGATCCATTATATCTGGTCCCCGCCATGGCGGCAGTAACGAAAAACTTGATCTTCGGCGTAACTGCGAGCGTAACATACGAAAAGCCCTATGCACTCGCCCGCCGTCTATCCACGGTAGACCACCTCAGCGAAGGGCGTCTCGCTTGGAATATTGTCACGTCTTATCTCGATAGTGCGGCTCGCAACCACGGCCTGAAAGAGCAGATCCCACATGACGAACGGTATGCGATCGCTCACGAGTATATGGAAGTACTCTACAAGCTTTGGGAAGGCAGTTTTCGAGATGATGCTGTTCTAGATGATCGGGAACAAGGGGTGTATATCGCCAGCGATGCTGTGCGACAGATACACCATAAAGGGAAGTACTTTGAGGTACCTGGTCCCCATTTCTGCGAACCCTCCCCACAACGCACTCCGTTTCTCTTTCAAGCGGGTGTCTCTGAAGCTGGAAACGGGTTTGGAGGGAAGCACGGGGAAGCGATCTTCGTCGGCGGTCAAACAGCTGAAGGTGTCCGGGTGACTGTGGACAATATCCGCAAAGTTGCAGTAGAGGAAGGACGCGATGCCGATCACATTAAGATCATTGTTGGGATTAACGTCATTGTCGCTGCGACAGACGAGGAGGCGAAAGCAAAGCGGGAGGAGTTTCTCAGATATGCCGACGAAGAGGGGGCATTGGCCCTATTCGGTGGGTGGACTGGAGTCGATCTCTCAGGCTACACCGATGACGAGGATTTCAGATTCAGCGAATCTCCACGTGTCCAGTCTATCGTAAGGCGATGGTCTGCTACCGTGCCCGGCACAGACAATCTTCCTTGGACAAAGAGGCGGATTGTGGAGTACTTAAGTGTCGGTGGTCTTGGAGCGAAAGTCGTCGGGAGCCCTACAACAGTCGCTGACGAACTGGAACGATGGATAGAGGTGTCAGGAGTAGATGGCTTTAACCTGGCTCACATTACCAATCCGGGGACATTTGAGGACATTATAGAGTACCTACTCCCTGAGTTGCGCCGAAGAGGACGTTTCCGAAGCAAGGTAGGAAAGGAAGGCGCCACAGCCAGAGAGGTTTTCATCGGATCTCGAAGGCTTCCAGATGATCATCCTGGAAGCAAGTATGGGTGGCATGCTGGTGAGAAGCTACCCAAGTATCAACTGGAAGAAGAGAACGGAGAAGAGGCATGATAGAGAAGGACCGATGACGCGTGTATGCCTTGAATAATAAATTGGGAGACAAAGGGGAGCTGCATATGCCTGAGTCACTTTGGCTGGATGCTAGAGACAATCAGAATCAAAATGCCTGCAACGAACCTTATGCGGACAGCGTTATAGTAGAACCGTTCATTGGTATTGATGTTTTAGTCTTCACAACTCAAATATGGATGAGTCACCTGGAGAAAGTCCACTGTGCTTGGTATTGAACAGAATCTTAGGTATTGATCGGTGCAGCGGTATGCTTATTCGCATTCTATTTCTTTCGAAAGCCTTTTTCAGGCTGGGCTAATGGCGAATGCTCTATGGCACACGCGTAGCAAGAAGCCACGCTTGTATATCCAATAAACAGCCAAAGACATAGTAGACCGGGCCAGAGCGAATAATTCAGAGAACTGGGTTGCGATCGAGCGACTACTGAGTCCAGGACGCGGGTTTCCTGTAGGCTGACGCCAGCTTCATGTGCCACGTCTACCAGCCCCTAGCCACACGCGCGCGAGTTGGGTAATTATAGTTCAACTTTTAAGAGACATACCTTGAGATGTATTTTATACATATCCCCTAACTTAATCATAAAACGGCTATAAGTGCATCCCGACGGACCAATAATACCCAGACTCGTTTGGAGTTCCCAGAACAGGCATGACGTGTCTGATACCCCCCAAGACGATATTATCCTTTCTGAGGCGCAGCTTTTCCATGCATACAGCCCAATGTTGGGCAGATATTTCCGGAATTCCTTTATGTGTTGTCGTGGTCCAGCGCTGATAGTGAGCGGCTGGGCTTCATCCATAAGCCATTTTGTTCAACATCGATGGCGACGATCGACGTAAGGAGCCACTTTTCAGGGTAGGGAAATAGCCAACCTGCTCGGTAGTTGCGGAAAGATTGTCGATTTAATTTGCTTTCCACCAATGAAGCTTTCCAGGTAGCACTAGGTTTGGGGTTCGCGTTGTGGGGTATAAGGTGCACCGAATGCATTAGTTAGCTAGTAGACCGTGGAGGGATAAATGAGCGATGCATAACAAAATAGATTACACTGTCGAGTTTAGCAATTTCTAGCCATTTCAAGCCATTTCATTCTTAGAGTAGTTGCGCGTTGAGTCCACCTAATACAAAGAAGCTGCTATATATGGCTGCAAGGGTGACCGAGGCCAGGCGGTGACAGTTGGGAAGTATCCCTAGCAGTGCCATAACCAAAGTGGGCAGCCCTCTGTCACAGTTGGCTTAAATATAGTTTTTTCTAGTATAGACGCTGGAGTGAATATGTTTCATCAATAAAAGGGGGATGTATAGTCAACGGTTCGAACGCCGTGAGCAACGCTGAGTGAACTATGCCTCATAACTTTGGCGAACAATCTTAATCACGGCAGAGGCCAGATAAGCCTTGCAGGAGTTTGGGCTATGATTGCCAAGAGATGCCACCATCGCTGAAAAACAAGGGGCCCAGTTTGCTCCGTGGACTGTCTGCCCCTAGGTAGGCGGAAGTTATTTCCGGATCTACGTTGACGTCCAGTCAGTGCGAGCGGAAAAGTGAGGCGAGCGATCATTGGATATCCGACACGGTACAGCCATAGACTTTCGTGGGTGGATTCAACGGCTACATACAGGTCAAGCCGCATAAGCGAGTATCCGTTGTTGTTATTGCTTTATTTTGATTTATTTTCTCTTCCCTCACGTTGCCTTCTGGCTTGAGAATGAAATGAAGAATGCCATGGAGATTATACCCATAGATATGGGGCTCAAATGAGCGAGACCAGGTTGCCTTACATTGAATATGCTCCCAATGACTGGAATGCTAGATTGGGCCCCCTAGCAATTTCATGGACGGTCGAACCTTCAACTTACCCTAAAGAAGAGCACAAAATTACTGCGCAGGAAACACCGGCATGGAGATCACTATTACTTAGTATAATGTCGAGAAATTACCGAACAATAGCCACGAATAAACTTTTGCCATCAATTTAGCTTATTTAGGCTTGGACACCTGTCAAGGAAGCCCCCAAAGGTACATTAGTATGGTGTAGAAGTATGTATGTAGACTAGACAGGACGTGTAAGAAAGTACATACCACGATACCAAAGGATCTCCAACCGAAGAAAAAGGCAAAAAAGATCGACTATCTGAACATATCCGAGCGGCGCGATTACTATTTGGGACTATTTGTGTACTATTTTGGAACAGATTATTAAGATCAGCTGTTTTCGACATGTGCAACCATCGTTATGTGTCAAGTTCTGTTTGCGGATAATCTGATCCGTTGGTTCCAGTTCGAAGCCCATGTGGAGATCGTACGAATCGTTGCGGCGGAAGCAATTCCAATTGGACGATGTGTCATGTTTGTGCCGTGGGAAAATATTTCCATTAAACCTACCTGCCACTCACATTTTGAATTTTTCATGACTCTCCCTCTTTTAAGCTCTTGGGTTGAGGAACCAAATAACGTTGGGAAGAAATTCTTGGTGTGTGTGTGTGTGTGTGTGGATGGGAAAGGAAACCCAGAGAGAAGTTCAGTCTCAACTACGTTGGCCCCGTCGAAGTGGATCATCTACAGGTCATTCATGGATAGATCCACCGTCTCGAACCCGATACCTAGGGCCTGGAACTTATGTGCTCCCACTAAACAGGGGTGTACGTGATTTTAGTAGGATGCAGAGCAAAGATCTATCGGATCGATATTTTGCCTGCACCGATAGATCAACTGTGGCTCTGTGGCTTGGATTTCCGCTGTGCTGGGTCCGATGATAGGTATAGTATACTAGACTAATAGACTAATAGCTCGCGGAATATATATAGGTCTGGCCGACCTGATGGGTCCCGTCTCAACTCATTCTCGGCCGTGTTTAATTTTAGAGATGAAGTCTCGGTCAGTCAGCCCAACTTTACACACACCTATTCGCGCACAACACATACAATAAAAAAGAAAAAAAAAAAAAAAAAGCATGCCCTTGAAAAATCGTGGTAATAGTAAAAGAATAGGGCGAGCATACCGATAAATCGATAACGCTTTCTGTCATGTTCTTACCCCCCTTTAGTAATACTACCAGTAGCGTTAGGAGCCGTTCTCGCAGCAAAGAACAATCAATATATATTACTGTCACATAGAAGAGGAATTAATTCAAATATTTATTTTTGATCAACGAAAAGGCAAAATTGGTATCAAGTAAAGAAAGTTTCAAGGTACCGATACCACAATAAGTAAAAACATAGAAGATGGGATATCAAAGTTTTGCCCTGCCAACGCCATAAAACTATGCCAATTTCGATGGCTCAATAGCAATCAAATCCAAGAACCAGTACGCGCCACGCTATGATGGATGTCTTATTTCAACCGGCACCGAAGGCCATCGTAAGAAGGTTTTTTTTTTTTTCGTGAAGAGAATCGCGTCGTGGTGGATTGTCAGCTGGGGGACTGAGTTGAGGGAGATCTCTGGGACCCTGCTCCCGAGACCTTTCCTGATTGTCCGCTTGCTAAGAGGGGTTAGAATGCATGGATACTAACAAAGGCTCTACCAGAGAAGTATGCGCACCTTTGAGCTGCTCAAGCTGCTCAAGCTGCCGGATTGTGTTTTCATGAATCCTGGCCCATTCTGCCTGGTACTCCGCAAGGTCCAGGTGTGTGGGCTCTTGGGTTGAGGACGTCGTCCTACTTGTAGATCGCTTGTCCATGACTTCCGTGAGGGAGGGCTTTTGCCGCTGGTAAAGGGAGGAGAGGTATATGGTGAATGAGAGCCGTGAGAAAGAAGTGTAAGAAAGTACCAAGACGAGAAAGGTGACAGCTTCAGATAAAGTTCAAGGGCGAAGGTTAAAAGTAAGTTAATATGTCCTTTTATTCTCACCTCAGCTGCAGGAGAATCGTGTGGACAGTCGAAGACTATTTATCAGTTTGTGAAAGTCGCATTCTTGACCGTCAGGAGACCGTCTCAGGCCACTTGGTGGGATCCATTGACACCGAAGTGAATCAATCAACCAGGTTAGGATCCAATTTTATTTTATTTTTTATTTTTATTTTTTATTTTTCTTAGACCATGTGCCTGCCTGTCCGTTGGAAATTTAATTACTTTTTATTTTATTGGTTTTTTTGGGCTCTCATTTTTCGGTATGTGGTTAAAGTTACCCCATCGGATGTGTTCTTTAACAATTCCCTTGCATTCCATAGGGAGAAAATTAATTTTTTTTTTTGTCTTTTAAAAAAGTGAAAATAAAAGGGCAAAAAAAAAAAAAAAAAACACAAAAGACAAAGACCCTAGTACTAAAAGTGACCCGCTAGATTGGAATGAACCCATCAAAAAGATGGAACCACTAGAAGTATCCCCGAAACAAATGTCCCGTTCAGTCTCCCGATTGGCCGGGGAAAGCTATTGAACCCAACAGACAAGCTGCCGAACATCAGGATCGCCCTAAGATTCCGTTTTGTGGCTTTCAGTCTAGTCTCCCTCAGTGAATTTTGTGAGCTTTGCTCCTTTCTTCGGTTGCTGTGTCGCGGACTATCGGAATCCAGTCGTCCGGTCCTGATTGGCCTCTTAACTCTCCGATCGTTCACGCGGATGGATCCCCGTCTACCCTGGGCAAAAGTACGTACTTTTGTCCTTCCACTGATTGAGGGACAACCGGGAATTGGGCATCGATCCATCGTGGGGGTTGGTCCACGATAATATGTTTGTTATCTTCCTGGTGACTATGAACAAGGTTTTTCTCTCAGAGATGGAGGAGCAGGGAATATCAAAAGCAAGTTCGATCAGAAATATTTCTTTGCTGGGCCTAGAAGGAGTCAAAAAGAAAAAAGCAATTGCTGCTGTCCTGACATGAAAGGCAACTTCTATCCAGCAGGGGTTCCTCCACGGGCATGGCATATACTGACTTGCATCTGGTTTTCAGCCGCGGTCAATTATGGCATTCTTGCATTGTTCGACCGGAATTCCAAGGTATTACTGCAAACGGAAAATAGATAGAATGACGTCAGGAATGACGAACTAGTCACGATACTAGTACCATCGAACTCTCATAGTAGTCCCACAATGGTGGGCTTCGGGGAACCATAAACAACTTCCGCGATCTGGCACGATCCATCAGCTAAAATGACCTAATGTTTCGCTGCTGCAGTAGTGTCTACAATTTACGAAGAGAAGGGTGGCGCATCCACCTCGTGGTGGGTTACTTTCTTTAGTGTTCTCTCTGATCCTCGACTCCATCCATCGTTACCTAGTAGGCTCACTCACTTGCCTGACTTGGTTAGTTAGGGCTCGACCCTTAGGTTACCCCCGACCACTACTTCAAGGCAGCAGTTATACTGTATAACCTTTCAATGCACAGCGGTAGTATCGCCAATGTCCATTTAAACTACACGGAAATGAATTTATAGTGGAGTACTGCTTAGCTCGAGGATCGCCATTGGTACAGAATCCTTTTCACCGCCACTTCAATCAACCGATGTCAGCTGGCTTTTCACCGCTATGCCCTCGTACAGCAAGTTGGACCCTATCAAGCGCCCTGACGATAGCCGCCCTTTCCGACGGTTTAATATCAGGTACCCAGAGTCTGGGGGGAATCTTCCAGTCATTCCTATTGCTCGACCTTTGTTGGTGATGCAGGGGATCATATGACAGACTGCTTGATTCCAATCAATCATCCATGCTTGTAGGTAAGTACATCCCATCTCACCGGCAGCATCGTCCAGCAAAGCAGTCCCAAGGTCGCACAAACAGGCTGAACCGTTACTCGGTTCCCCTCACCGCCACTGATGCTTGCTCCCGATGTGTTCGCATCTTGGCTCTTCTACGTTTCTTTTGCCTTTGTTTCTCGATCACCCGTGCATGATGACCCCTGACTGTTACGCCTCTCAGTCACTACAGCCATCCAACCCCCCGCTGCCAACACTGATTATCGCTGCAACTCATGGTCTAAGAAGCATGGTTGTCAGATGATTGACTGGTACTGCATTAAACCACAGTTTTATGTCACACGGGCGCCTAACCATAGAGATGTTCTTCAGACTGGACACACGTACGGACCATGCGAATTAACATCCCTGTAGGGCGATGCCAAAAGTACGACTCAACCTGCAATCTTACCAAGGCTCATTATGATCAAAACATTAGTTAATTCAATGCGGCTGTTAAATGTTTTACAAGCGCAGACCAACTTTTAAATAATTGACACGGCACGACTAAAAATGGCCCCATAGGTATAGGCCAAAATAGAAGCCAAATGTGATCATGAGTCAACAAAGAGGCCGCCGACGTTTCATCGTATTCCATGGTCGACCCTCAGCCGCGCGCAGGCAACCATGATATCAACCTTCAGAATACGCCTCGTATATTACGCATGGTTCATGGCTTCCCAGAAGCATCGCATTAGGCAACTGGGACTAGCACCGTCTTTGCCCGACTCTATGCAGATAACCCAGAAGCGATATTTTCTTTTCGGGCGGATGCTACGCGGACATTGTCGGCTTTAAGTTAATGGTCTCACTTGAACCGCTGCAGACTAGGTCATGCTCGGGTTAGGCTTTCTGAACATGGTTAAGTCGACATAGCAACGGGGTTGCCGATGGCTTGTCATCTGAATGATCAACATCGCTAGCAGTTACAATACATATCGCCGGCGATACGCTCCGACATCCCTACGTTCTTTGCAGCAACAGACTTGAGATACGCTGACAATTTCAGTGGATCCCTTAGTTGGCCTAACCTGGTAACCTTTCTCGACGCAACTAAGAATCATCGTGCATAAAAGAAAAAGCCACCCTGCAACTGCGCTGAATTATTGTTGATGTTGGTAGAGCGATCGTTTGCCATTGGCTACAGACGTGTTTTCTTTTTCCGGATCGCGATCTACATCCACCAGGAATTCGATCCTGCGAAGGATCGACCTGCTACGGTGCCTAACCACCTTTAATTGAAAAATTGAATTGTATCTTGCAGGCCTTCAGAGCATATCGAGCGTCTCTGCGGGTAAAGAAGAACATCCTTAATCTTGCTGCAACCACTGTGACCTGTCCGAAAGCTACTCTTAGCATAAGCTCTCGTAGTATCTTGCCGTTGTTAAATTCCACAAGCTGCCAAAACAGTTCTGACAGCTGGGCCACGGAATCAATGATTCTGAAGCAAGAGAGTGGAGCGGGTAACTAATTCTACAGATAGTCTGCGCAGTCGACTATCTCTCCTCTTGCCCCACAAGCCACTAATCGTTTGTAGTTACTACTTACTAGTATCATCGCCACAATAGACTCCACTTTTAGAATCGCTCATCGGCTCCTCCCCGGAGAGTTGACGTAATAGCGTGATGGTGTGAGTGGGATACTAGTTGGTGGCCTCAAATCTTCCCAATCAGTACAGGTAAAATGGCCAATTATTAAAGATCGCATAGGCCCATGCCCATTTTTATATCGCTTTGTATTGTGTGGGATACCTCTGTCGATAGGCCAGAAGACTTACCATCCCAAAGATCTATCCACGAATCCCATCACCTTAAACCTAACACATGACTCAAATCCCTTTTGAGTCAGGTAATTGTTTCTTCCTCATAAGAAGATCATTCCATATAATAAAGTACGACTGCCCCGCCGAAGCAAAGCGGGGAACCACCATCAGGAACTAGTATAGCACAGACCCATACACAGTAGACTGACCCAGGTCGCCTATTGGTTATTGTACTCTGAAAGGGCCCAACCGATAACGTGGGAGTGATTTTAGCGTAGAATCAACATAACCGATTGGAGTCGGGACTCAATTTATACGCTCGTCAACGGTTGATGATCCCTCCCGTTCCCCCGAGACACGAGAAAGTATTGGGTTCGGAGGAATATCTCCCGGGACTAGTTGATGCCTTGGACAATGAACACCGTATGTGTCGTTGTGTCTGCGCTTTGCGGTTGGGTATAGGTGGTGTGGGGACTTGGGCGGTGCTTTTAGATGATTGATGTCATTCAGGGTAATATGGCCAATGTGACCTTGAAGTCTTTGGTATTGACCTCTAGGATAGAAATCACAGCCCTTGTCATCTATTATGTGCACATGATGGTATACATGGTAATAGCGCAGTAGCGCAGTCGATTATTCCCGAATGTCATTATTGTATGATAGTCAACTAGTTCATATTAATAAGAGACGTCTAAGCACGTCATCTGAGTAAAAGAAAAGACAGAAATATCAGCCAGACTAATGGCATATTCGCCATCGCGAACCATATTAGGAAAAGTAAAACCCCATAGCGCCATCCTGGTAACCAAAAGAGAGAAAAAACAAAGCCCTAATGTAACCTCACTCCAACAGCTCCATTGGTATCTTTTCCGTATGCTCCAAACGCTCCCACCAATCCTCTTCGAAAAGCTCCATCTCCTCCGTCCTCTCGATATCCCACCACGGATGAGGGACCATCCTCCTGGGCAACTGTCGATCGGAGGGAATCTCCAAGAGTAATAACCCAGCGGGAATATCGCCCTCGTCAGTATTTAGCCGCAACCGTTCATCAAGATTCTGCAGTTGCGTCGCATGCGCGTCGAAAATACTCCTCAATCGCGATATCCCCTCCGGTGTGCCCTTAATCTCAAACGCAACCTCCTTCAACCGCGGACACTCGCCCAACATCCCCAAAACACCCTCGATGGTAGCTTCCGGATCGTCCTCCCCAAGCCCAAACTCCACAAGTACATCCCACTCGAACCCCAGAGTCAGATGCTGGACGTGTAACTTGGGATCGAAGCCCTCGTCCGGATCGGAGTGTCGATCGTTCATGTACACTAGCAGCTCAGCCAGGTAGGGGGCATTCCAGACTTGGAAGTGGTTCTTCTCGTAGTAAGTTTCTAGCGCTTCCTTTGTGACGGCGCTGTCGCGCGTGATGTATTTCTGGCAGAGAAGGATGGCGTCGCCGAGGACGGCGTCCCGGACATCTGTATCCGGCATGATGAGGAAGGTATCGGTTGTCAGGAGCTGGTCGAAGATTTCCTCGCGGAAGATGGGCGGGATGGATAGGAAATGAGCGTAGGAGGAGAATCCGGTATGTTGTCGGAAGAAATTATCCAAGCGTATTCGGAGCTCTTGTTCGAAGTTTAGCATGGTTGCTGGGTGCAGGTGGACTGCAGAGAGAAATTGAAGTCTGCAGTAGGAGAAGGGAGCGGTGAGCTTCTGTCTGTTTGGGCTATGCTTTTCTTTTCTTTTCTTTTTTTTTTCTTCTGAGGTTTGATCGGGGTGCTTTGCCTCTTACTTATAGCTTTCGGATGTTGTTGTGCGGTCCCTGGTCTGTGTTGGAGGGATTATATCAACAGCATTGCGCGACCTGTCGGTCGTGACAAAAGACATCGAATCGTCAAGTGAGGGGTAAGCCCAGTGGGGTAAACGAGAGGCGTTTGCTTTGTGCTTTCAATGGCTGCTAAGGTGCCGCGGCGCTTATGGAGGGCGTCAAGGCTAGGGTTCTCATACTGGAATACACGATCATGGATGATGGACTGGGAAGGGCAACTGCATAAGTATCGATTAATAACCAACTTTCTACAATGCATGGCGCTAAAATCGGGAGATAGAACATCAAGTGATAAGAGTCGCGTACGTCCTGTGGTGTCGTAGGATAGGATTCTTATCCACGATAGCCCTCACCAATGGCATCGACCTCGTTGAGTATTATTCCCTTGTGATATTACGACAGCTCCGACCTCATACTATCGAGCCGTATCTCTCTATATGCCATGCATCTACGCGCTGGAGGTTCGAACAAAGGTCTAGGGGGCGTCAATAAGTCTTAGAACAAGACCAGATGTTTCTAAAGATAAATGTGCAGGGTGTTAAAACCAAGATTAGCCGCGGACATGCCCAAATCCGTGATAATAGTATCGCAAGAGGTATTTTTAAGCATCATGGATATTGTGCCTAGTCGCAAAGCGAAGCGCTGCACCCACATAAATCGGAATACCGTACCCATAGCAAGCTCCATTTTAGCCGCCGGGGAAGCACGTCTCGTCTAAATGCGGGGACACAACTGAGACCCAGCATTTTCATTTTCATGTTCAAGAAAAGAGAGAAAGGGTTGCAGCTTGCGGCCCACCTGGTGTGAACTGAATGGCTCGTTTAGCGGCGCTATCGTATTCGGCGCTTAACACGACCAATCATGAGTTATGTAAAGGCCCAAGAAATGGAAATCCAGCAGATTAGACCCCGTTTAGGTACTAATAGGTACTACCGAAGGTAGACTATACTATGCGGAGGAATTCAGCCGATTCCGTTAATAACCCTAAGTGTGGTCGGTACATCAATGGACTAGAACCCTAAAACAATAGTCAGGTGAGTTTCGCCACTCTTGGCCAATCGAGTCGATTTGGGCATGTTATAGCCACTCCTCGATATATTTTTGAATACTGGGACTCTGTCTTCGCGTTCATAACCCAAAAAAAACACAGAGGTAAATTTGCACAATTGTTTCAGTACGCTGAACCCATGACATGGGCTCATGACCTAGGAACTCGGGTTTCTTTGTATATCTCTCAGGACCCCTAAGTATGGTCAACTAGTGCAGACTGAAGCAATACTACGAAAAGCGACTTTCTTGAAGAATCCTATTCCCACGTAAGCTTTTCAACCCAAATTCACATTCTAATTAAGTGTATTTGCCACAGGTGGCTACATGATACATCCATAAGAGAGAAATCTGCATCAGGACCGTGATTTCAGCCGAAGCGGACGTTGCATGGTCATGTGAGCAATATTGCATCTTTCAACAGACACTATTGATCGTTAGTCTGCTGGAATAAAAGATCCGAATCGGAGCTCCTAAGTGCAATGGAGATATTCCCCACTTAATTTGCTTATAACTAGGCGATGCGTAACTCAGTTACCGCTTGTGCATAATCGTTCTATGTATAATGCTATCGTCTCCACCTCTCTTTCTTTTCCTAGGTCATTATTTACTGTTCTCTGGATTGGGAAAGTTCCGCCCAGGCCATTAATAGGAAGTTCTCCACTGGATAAAGTACTTTATTCTACAGCAGTACTTCCGGTCCTATACAGGGGCTCTCGCGGAAATGATATGTCTGGTACACTCATCACACGCAAGGGGCTGTCTGGATTTGCGAGTTCCAATCCCATTATCTCTATTATCATTTACCAAATATTCAAAAGGTCGGTTATTCCATGTTGATCCTCAGCCAATCGTAAAGAGATTACCAGCGCCGCTGGAAGTGAAGAGAAGAACACATGGTATACATAGTGAACATGTATCTAGCCATATGTTCAATGAATTCTGTTTATTTACAAGACATAAAACTTAGGAAACTAGGAAGTGAAAACTGTTATATTTGCTGTATCATATAACGACATGGCTTGTTCTTATTTGGGTTTTGCTCCAACTTAGCCCTACTAAATACGGCAAAAGGTACACTCTGCACCGTGACGTCTCTAACTATAGCCAATTATAGGATAACCATCTGACCGGTTAAGCTCGTGGGGCCAGATTTTGACAAAACCTGTCCAATCGAAACAGCTCATATTTTCTTCACGGAATTCAATATTCCTGCTGGGTAGGAATCAGAGTATGGTCTCATGGTGGCAGTGCCGAAGTCAGCTGATCAACGCCACATTGTTGAGGTGTAATAACCACGTCTAGCTCTCTCATTATGTCCTATAGGATGCGATGTGGACATAATCTTGTAAACTTAGCCAGCAAGCATACAACGACCAGCTACCAGAGCTTCCGTGGACAGTTCTCCCACAAAGGTTTCAACACATGCTCGCAGACCGACTTTCTAAAGGTCAGATCATCCCAGTCGGGTGTTGCTGACGTAGTGGCAAACGTGCATTCAATGCATCTAGTTACCAATTCTAGATAGAATGGAAGCATACTATCATCACTAAAATTGAGCCAATGCCTGGCTATTTCGTAGCGGGTTCCGTAGCTGTCATCCATCTTCAAGGCTTTTTCAGACGCATAATTGTCGATAGATCTCATATGCCAGATTTCAAGCAGGATTATTCCCAGCTCGAGCATGGAAGCCTTTGTGGTATATGGAGATGTCGCATGACTCTTAGTAGGAAATGCGCTCACTATAAAGGGCTGAGGTGGACTTTTGAACTTCATAGGATCAGGCGTAAATCGTATAGAGGAGCTAGTTAGAGGAGTTGCCAACCATGGTGTAGAGTGGAGTTGCATCATGGAAGATGTAATATTGAATGAAAGAGCCATTTGCTGGTTTATCGTCCATTTGGGCATAGTGGATTTCGAATTCTGCATTATGAACAGAGCATCTTTGAGTGTGATAGTATCATGAGATGGTCTATCATTAACGTTTATATTTATGCCAGGGTCTACTGAACCATGAGAGTAGCAGAGTTTGGCACATCGTGACAAATAGAGATCAAGTGATTGTCTCCTCTCATATGCTTGATGTATAGATTGACAGAGGCCTTCAATGAGTTGCAGGGAGGGACTTGGGGTTCTCGGGGGACTAGGAGGATTTATTTGCACCACTTGTTGAATTGCTCGGTTGATTTGTAAGCTATATCGTGTCAGCCTATCTCCGGTATTAGAGAGATTGACATCTCACTTGTCTTCGAAGTTGTCCAAATCCTCTTCCAATACTTTCACTTCATATTTATTGTGTAGAAATGGTAGACATGAGGGCATTGGACGCGGAGAAAATGTCATTACGAAACTGACGACCGGCTTCTTGAGGGACTTTGAGTGATTCTTATTCATTGCCGTTGATCTCGTTTGGAGGAACAATCTAGCCTCATGTTCTGCATGACACCCAGCGATGCATCCGCAAGAGATAGCGGAGTACAAACGGTGCGCATAGCTCTGGACGGCATTCAAGGCTGCGGTGAATCTTGCTATGGCCCTGGACATGGGCTGGACTGTGACATTTTGCCTTGCTATGCTCTGGTCCCTCAGTCGGCTTAATGTTTTTGTCGATTCATCTAGGTCGTAGATTTGTCGCTGTAGATCTTCTTTTCCGACACTGAATTTGATTCGCTTAGTAAATTCGAATCTACCATTTCGTTTTGGTTGAGACTGGAGAATTGTCGGGAGGTCGTTCCTGTTCCACTATGGACAATTGTGTTAAATATTGCATTAGATACCATAGATTGGGCAATGATTACCTGAGGTGTTGCTACGAGACCGCTGATATTGGCGATAATGTCGCTAAGGATATGCTCGCATCGGGCGACAGCATTAATGTACAGAGTAAACCCTTCTCCAAGGTACTCTTTCAGAGCATCTGAGATCTCTGGATCTTGGAACAGATTCAAGCCCCGTTCATCAATCTGTGCAATTATTTGTTTCTCTTCGAGATGGGCTTCCTTGAGTGCTAAGCAGATATCGGTCTGAAAATAAAACTTTTGCTCTTCTAACGACTGGATCAACTGATTCAGGAGGAGTTCTTTCTTGACCATAAATTTGATCCTCTGGCTAGTGGCTTTGTAGGAGTCTATGGCAGAGATGATTAGTGGGATGGCACCCAGTACGACGCCAACAACCTCGAAGCCTGACATGTTGGTTCATCCAGCTGGAGAGCATGGAGAAAGGTTTGTTGTGGGAAGAGGAGTCGCTGGCGGGGTAGTCGCTTACATGCACGAGGCTATGGTTATTATTGGGTGATTTATGGAGCTAGAGTTGGATCATTCTTGACTTGTTCCCTACATCTGCTCAGCCTTGCTGCTTTCCCGTCAACCGTTCCTCTTCCACGCCGTCTGCGCTTCTGACGCGAGGTAGACAAATGGCGCAAATTCAAAGACCTGAGACTCTGAGCTCTATTGCTCAGAAAATCAGCAATCGGTTTGTACTAGTGGAGCGTTCTGCTGCAAGAAGCAGCGACGAAGGTTTTAACCATTTCAAGCTTATAAACGAAACACAACGCTTCGAATTATGGGCAAAAAATTTGGGTCTTTATCATCTAGGTCATAGCTCACTCGACTACCGATTTCGAGATGCTCCTTCTCTTTTCGAATTCACCGTCAGCCTATTGCGTAACCTGGAGGCGCTTCTCGTACAGCGTGAGTTGTGTGTCTTCTAGCTTAGTCTGGTTCCAATTGCTAACAGTACTTGAGTCATGAATACCCTAAGCCGTGGACAAGTATCGAGTTTGAATGCAAGGGATACGCCAAAAACTTCCGTCCAACCTCAGGAACAGTTTAGTGATGACTCAGAAGAAGATGACTTTGGATCTTCTGACGATGAGTCTATCATCGATTTATTATTGTCAGGCGTGGCTGCCTGCATTGACAAGCTGTACCGTCTCTCATTCAAAATTCGCAATCCCGCAATGAGACTGGGATTTTCCAAAGCGCTTAAGTATCGTGCATTGGACCCAGAAACTGGTGTTGATCTGATCGACCAGTTCCGAGAAAGCGACCAACGCCATCTTGAACAGCTTTTTGCCTCTTATCGTTCGACCTCTGCAAGAGACTTGGAAAAGGATTTTCTAGTTCAGCGTCTAGCCAAAGCCAATACCCGACGGAGGCAGCAGTTTGCATACTGGAAGAAGAGACGAGGTCAGTTTGAAACTATGTCCAGAATGGTACCCATCGAAGAAATGGCACCCGATTCCTTTGTGCAGGGGCCAGAAAACGGACCAAATTTGGATGTGCCTGTCGTTCCAACCGCCCCTTCCCAACCTTCGACAGCAACTCACCTCGATGTGTCCAAAGTAAACCTGGACGATGATTCCTCAGTGATATCAAGTTCAACCGTTGTGCATATGCCAGATGAAAGGAACGGAGACTAGCTTTCAATTCCACCACCTCCAAAGCACTTGTGGGATGGGGAATAGTTTGAGTGCCCATATTGTTTCACTCTATGCCCACATAAACTGCTGCACCAAAAGGCTTGGCAGTAAGTCATAAGAAATTCTTTGTCCGCGGAAAATTGATAGCTGATAGTTTCAAGAACACATATTCTGCGAGACTTGCGTCCGTACCTTTGCACATATGAAGATTGTAAAGACGCAGATCAACAGTATGACAGCCTCAGCGATTGGATCAACCATGAAACCATCACGCATCAGAGCAAATCCAATACAGCTTACAATGAGAAGAGAGAGATGTCTGTTGAAGCACCCCGGAAATGCCCATTCTGCCTCGAGGACGCAGGGCCACACCATATCGCAACCCATCTTCGCCGGGTGGCTTGCTTTTCTCTTCCACGATCCGTTGGAGATGCGGAAGACGGGTCTTCGCAAGGTAGCCAGATATCTGGTAGAGCAGAGGTTAGGTCAAGCAATAACCAAGATTCTGAGACAAGAAGTCGAACCTCTGAATCGCAGCAAATGCCAGATAAGCAGGTGATGATGGCCTATTTGGACATGGCATTGCGGTCTCAGGGCCCTTTTACCGGTTGGAGGACCGATGTTTCTCTCGAGGAGCGGGCTGTTAATGCATATCAGATGTAAGTGACCTGCGCCATATATATGGTGATGGATCGGTTGCTCGTGCCAGTTCTGCACTGCAAAGCTATCGGTTTACACTCTCTGTCATATTGCACAGGCTGACAATGTATCCCCAGATCGACATCCATTCCTCTAATACGGCCGCGTCCCGCTCCAGAGAACTTAGCACAGGTTGCTTTAAGTTATGAGCAAACAGCTTTCAACAATGCAGAAAACAAGGTATACTCCCCAATTCCTTTGTTTATATAGCGGTCTATCAACAGTGGAAATATTAGGTCGATTATGATAAAGAATTCCGCGACAAACACATGCGTATTCGAAAAGTTCGGGCTAGGCAGGCGGCTGGATTTCAACTGGCTCAATCTGGGATCTCTCACGCCGACCCGGGAATTAATCAAAAAAACAATTCTCCTCTCACTGCCGAAACCCTTCACCAACAGCGACCAGACCCCAACCCTGAGGAATGGAGAGTGAACCAATTCTTGGGAAGCGTTGTCAACCCTTCCAACAGTGCTACTCCGAAAATCAGATGAGGGTTTGGATCAAATGCCAATGTGACGAGCAGGCTAACCACGGATTCCATCTAGATTTCGTATACATTATCCAGGTGCTGTGCTGTATTCCCACCAGCTCTCTGGGCTTATAAGGGTTAATAGAATTCTTGGTATGTGGTTTAAGAAATTGACTTAGTGAAGATAATGCAAGGCGCCCGAATAGTGGGTTGTAATTTGGGAGCCGTGTGATACCCACTGTCATACTTAGCAGATTCTAGTAGATGCTTACCTCTGATGCTTCGACTATCTTTTGTACCAAACTATCTGTTTTATCTGTATTTAGAACCTCACTAGCTGCTTCGAGTTGATAAGCGCCTATCAACCTAACTCCCCTACACGATACAAACTCTTTAGCACCAGTGCCTTCCAGTCATACATTTATAGATAGATTCCTTTGCCTGCTCCACCATGGGCTATCAGGAAAATCACGGTTGAAACACCATAATACAGTTCTGCGATTTACTTGTTAACTGTGCAGGGATTCATTTGCGGGAACGATGCCATCTAAGCTTTCCCCAGTGATCAGTTGCCGGATAAATTCCAGTGTAAGCCTGGTTTTGTCAAGTCAGGATGGAAACCTCCAGGAAGACATAGAGATACATTTGTAGAATCCAGTGCCATAAGTTAAGGTTCAGGCGCGTGAGCCTTTAGCGGAGTGGATATTATGCCATGTTGGGCTCGGAGCTTGGAAATATGAAACGAAGAAAGAAGTACAGGTAGACGCGTATATCCTCTGATCCAGCGTAGAACTGGCCAGTGAATTCCCACTGCAGGCCACCCTGCTCACCTTATTACTTTTGTGATTGTGAATCCAACAGTACGACAGGCTGAAATTGAAAAAATAGAGAGGTCTAGATAATTCCGAACGGGTAAATCTACAGATTATCAGAAGGCCAGAGCTGCAGATACTTGGAATTCCCAAAAGCCAGGCGACGCTCACTTTGTTATAAGATAAAGGAAGCGGCCAGTGTGAGCTCTTTAATTCTGCGCCTTCTTATCTATTCAAGAATAGCGGCTCTTGAATGATGCTTTAGCTAGGATTGTGTATATAACAGTGAAGGTTATCTACTATAACCTCCTTGGAGGCAAAGCGTGTAGCTGATTAAAACGTTGATGAATTCAATGATAAGTGATGTCTACCGTCCTTTGCACTGTAATATCCTCTAACCGCCGTTGTGGTTGACCTAATTCCACATCGGGGGTGACTGAAGCCCCATAGCCCCTTTCTCCCACAGCAGTCAAGGATAACTCATGTGCATCTGCAGCGCCGTTCATCTGCCCGTCTGTATCGCGCATAATAGACTCGACAGAGCTACCCTGATGGGTTGTAAAAGTTGTAAAGTTTCGGACTGCTGCTCGCGCCCGCTGTGGTGCACTCCGTGGTGTGGCTCGTCCTTGCTCCGGGTAGCTGGAGGGATCCGGGGTTTTTAAGTGGAAGACCACACGGACGAGTGGCCACATTAAAGGTAGATTTGCGACGTAAACTGCGGTCGACAGTTCAGCTGCATACCATCTCTACGGTAGACAGTCAGTACAAAGTCCAAGAGAAAGAATGGTGACTGACCATAAAGATCATGGAACCAACAGTGCTCAAGCTGTAGTATCGGTTAAGAATGGCCATTAAAACCTAGATATGTCAGAAAGAGAGCAGCATGAGGAATGGCGGTGCGTACAACAACGAAACCAAGACCGAACACTCCACACACAGCAATTTTCCTGTGGCTGTTAGCTCTGGAGATAAATGAACTTGAGGGCTACTTACTTGCCCAGGCGAAGGTGGGATCGAATAAACAGAGGTAATGGGATGCATAGCATTACCAAGTCAGAGGAAATGTTGAAAACAGCAGATACAATCATGTGGTTGAAGTAGGTTGAACATTGAACTAGCCAAAACATCAGTGGAATTTAAAAGGTTTCTTTGGTATTGGCCGGGCTTACAATTGTCGTCGACATCCGGAGACCCTGTTTCTCATCAGCATCCTCTATCCCTTGATCGTGATTCAACGACGTACAATATCCTTCAATTGGTCGACACCAGACCGCACAAAGCAGGATTTCGATCAAAATATAGGATAGTCCAACGTATACTGCGAGTATCTGAACTACGATATGCTCTTTCAATAAACGCCTTAACCGACGCCGTTAGCTCCTTGTTGGCCATGTGTTCAGATCGACGTACGTTAAGCGGCTGTAGATGATCAAGAGGCAGCACTTGACTAGCCAGGTTGTCGCAGTGCAGAATTGCTCCATGGCAAAACACATCTTATTCCCCCATATCAGTAGCTCCTGCGCATGTGGAGTGATTTCGTCGGCATGAACCTCTGGCCGGCTATTGACCCATCCCACTTGATTGATGCTGACCATTGCACCGGTGTATGTAATCTATTCGGCGATTAAACCAGATCCTCGGGTCGCTTGTGCTGGGCCTTACCGCAGTAAAGCACATAATGTAGTCATCGATTTTCAGTCTCTTCCATGATCCCTTTGCGATCCGTTGCGATATTCTAACTTCGTGAGTATTTGGTTCGAATTTAGATCTCACGGTGTAACGAACAGGCGACACCCAATTATCAGTATTCCTATGACAACAAATGTTAGAAAGAAGCTACAATGTCCGGGTGGTGTGGAACTACCAATAACATATAAAAACCATGTTTCAATCGCGAGATCCCTTGAGTACTTGGTGAAGGATTCGCCCATGATACTTGCCACGAGTCATGAGTGTTAATACACCCAATGTAGCAATTAAATCCCATGACAAAATACTGAATTGAAGAAATGGTACACTGTGGATATATAAGGTTTTCTCCAGTCTTCAATATGCGGCGTCTCTTTGCCTATCTTCCACTAAAACCAACCGAATAAGCTTCACGCTATGTTAGATGCGATAGCAGGCTCTAACTGGCAATAAAATTGGCTGTCCGGACCAATATAACCTTTCCCCGAGTCAATCCTTGTCATTTACGGAGTACGCACTAGTTAACCTTTGGCAACATGTTTCACTTGTGCCGACATTACCCCTAGGGGAGTGGGTCGAGAAGTAAGGTTATGGCAAGTGTATCCCGAGATGCAGGTGCAAGTGGGGACTCCACCTCCTGAGATCGGCGCCGCGCCATATCTTGGCGGGTGTTGAAGTATTTGCTTGTGATATTTCCTCACAATCACTACCGAGTACAAATGTCCCATACAAGTGTGACATTGTGTATCACTCGGTACTCGGTCCAGTCGCTAAGATGTCTGTAGAAGGTCACTATACCAGCCTTGATCAGCTAAGGTGAGGCGACAGTCACAGTGGAGCCAATGATAATCGTCGGTTTATGGAGGTCAGTATTAACGGCGTGTGGATCGCAACGGTCGCGCATATCTGGTCTTCCATCCGCAGCATATCCTCTATTGAAGCAATGGCCATATCAGGCATGCCTGAATTATTAGAACCAGACTATTACGGAAGTTGGAGGACGGAGTCGTTATCAGATAGTCATAGTAGAGCTAAAATCTCGAGATAAAATATTGACTTATGATATTCCAAATAATACTAATAGCCAGCTTTGCGTGGCGGGAAGCAAGTTATATCACCATCTTCATTAACAAGATGTCCTGTAGTACTACTGTCAGCAGGTAAGCCTGGTATACTGTTAGTAGAAGTATAGGTACCTATAGGGAATGTGCTCTTGGCTACATATGCCCCCGTCACAGGATTTGGGGTTTTCGTTCTACAGGTGCATTGGACATCGTGTCTTCTGACTGCCATGTCGAAAGGTTCTGGTATCAAAGTACACCCATAACAACCACCTCGTCGAAAAGCGCCCCCACTGCGATCATTAGCCCTTATACACTATATACACTATAGTACGGAATCAAGGTAACATACTCCCATTGGCGAATTAAGACGCCTTGCGTCTTGTCGTAACCGAGGCAATAATTGAGATCTATACACGAATTTCGCTTGATTCTACCGTTGAATCGAATGCAGTCGGCGCAGAACACTGGTGCTGATGGATGGTGGTTTGCCATCTGGAACTCCTTCAGATACGCGTTGGTGCATTGCCCCACGTAGTCGACACGTCTACCATCCCAATTTACGGGTTTGGGATCACGTTGATGTGGTATCTGTTGCGCAGGCTGCTTGTTCTGAGCGGGTGGCGATTGTTTGTGAGGGCGTTTGTTCCTGTTAGGTCGACTTTGAATCTGCATCTGTCCATTATCGGGTCTTTTTTCCACCGAAAGCCCACTGCCCTGACCGGATACCCAGACACACAGATATATGGCGATAATGACGATCCAAAGTTGACGCATTTCGACTCCATGAAAAGGCAAGTTAATGCTCGTGAGCAACGTAGTTGAACACTGGCCGAGCAAGAGGTTCTGGGCAAGTAAATACCTCTTCCATCGGGATCCACTATGCCTACTCGCCGTTAACCCCTTTCGTATTGCGCTTGCTGTAAAAGGAGCTCCTAGCTCCTCTAATTACTGTCGCGTAAGCCCCTTCTTTATGTTGTCTTTGTTCACTGTGGTCGGGCAACAGGCCAAAGACTGGTGGCTGTTCTCGGCGAGTGGAGGCAGATTCGGGCGCACAAACTCGGTATGGCCAATCGTCCAGATTGTAAAAAAAATGCTCGGAGTCAGTAAAATAATGTATAATTCCCTTTACATCCTTTTTACTGGACAGGTAAACTATCATCAATTTAATCTGTTCTAGTGAAGCAGCAGCCACCAAGGTGATTTGCTGATAATTAGCCAAATCACGATATCGTGAGTTCACATAATGTATCTATAGTCACGTAGGTTCCATCGAGGATGACGGTGTATAAGACGCCCGAGACTAAGGTTCCCACTCAAGAGGCCGCTACCTCCACTCACTTTTTAAGTTAAGAAACAGAACAGGTTTACCCCTGCTTGGGGGGCAGTGATTGAGCGACATGTTCAAGGCTGAACCCGTCAGCAAGGCTCACACAGCCAGTACCTGCGGCAGGCCCTGACTGGCGGCATCGTCCAGGCAGAGACCCACAGCAACGCAGTCAGACCCAACGTGCCGATCCTGGGCCCGGAGAGCTTATCTTCGGGCTGCAGGGGCTGACCCCGCTTGCGGTGCTGCGTGATGTTCCGCAAGTCTAAGCATCGCAGGAGATTGTCAATATTAAGATCCTAATAATGAATAGGGGGTGCATCGTTCATTACACTGGGCTCGAGGCCTGAAGAAGCTTTGGGCACATATACTGGGTACATAACATGGTTCTCAATTCTGAGCCACCGGCAATCTTGACAATAATAATAATGATCAGTGATAAAAAGGAGAAATGCTAAAAGATTGAACTATTGCTTAGACCTGCTTGTGCTGTATAGGAACAGACTAGAAAAATATATGATATATTGGTAGTTGCCATTTTTATGGTCTTGTCTTCGACTACGAAGTGAAATGACTTAGTTATAGCATCGATTATTAATCTAGGCCTAAGTCACTTGTCGTACATTATTACCAACATAAATTGTTATTTTCGTATATATTTAAGAGTTTCTGGTAAAAGTAGAAAGCCTGAGATAAGATGGGAATGCTGCGTGTTGACGAAGTTTCTATCTTAAACCAGAATATGGGTGCTTCACAGTCCGTGTGGACAGGCGGCTCCAAGGTTTTTGGTATACAGTACAAATTGACAAGATAACGAAGGAAGAAGAATTGGTAGATATATTTGGAGCAGATATCTACGGGGAAAAAAGCCAATAATCATTTCTATTTAGTGTTAGCTAACTCTTAGTGTCGGAAAGCAACGATAGCAAGTTCTTCATTAAACTGCGACTGTAGTCCATAGCTTTAGTATGCCGAAAGCCGTTTAGACGCCAATGAGAAATTACAGTGCAAGAACATTCTTATGACTAGTATCAACACTCGACAGAAATAATTCTTGAACTCGTGCCCGCGAAATAACCGATCACCTTCGGACCCACCACGATTCCCCACAGGTATCCAACAACCGGCCGTAAGTTATGACCCGGGGTTCAACTGTCTTACTCACACCGGCCCAGCTGTGCTCCTCGAGGGAATACTTCAGCTTAGGTGAATTTACGACTAGCAATGACGCTGGAAATAAATGTTCAAACACGAGCTTCTGGACGCCTAAATTTATTGGGGGCTTCCACACACCACAGAGTATCCCAGTCAGACACTCACCGGGCCGAAGGCTGCTCGCTGCTTATTAGGAGGTTTATTTGTTGTAGTAGAGATTTCGGATAGAAATATCAAGTGTATATTCGATGTTCCTGGTAAACATGAATAAATCTCAGAAAAAAACATCGACTTCAGCAACTCGACTAAACTGGTGCCTGGGATGTGAGTCACGGGAGGCCCGGAGCCCTGATCCAGCACACCGTTGTTGCCTCTACTAAAGATCAATCACATCATCGGCTTTGGCACTTATGCAGTAGAAGACCCACCCGAAGAAGATGGCTGACTGCGACAAGCATCTGCAGGCAAGGAGCTATCTTCGCTTGGAGTTAGTCTCACCGAACGAGTCCGACTGATCCGGGCCTTCCGACGGATTTTCTCCACCTATTCTACGAGGCTTGTACATACATGTCATCCCGCTGCGCTCCTATTGGCGCAACCAGCTGCTCTAATCGAGCTGTTCATGACTATAAGCACAACAAACAAATATACTTAAGCTGCTCTTTTTCCATGGTTCCATGAGCCTTTTTAACTGTCTATCCCACCCCTCCACGCCATGCTCTCCCCAGCCCGCCTACTCCCTCTTATTGGGAGTCTCCTCCCTTTAGTCTCTGGCCTGCCTACCACCGGCTCATCGTCTGTGGTTCTCCCTCCCAGTGTAGACCCTTTCTATAGTGCCCCCCATGGCTTCGAGACCACCCTCCCCGGCGCCATCCTGCGCCTCCGCCCCGCTCCGGGCAATCTGACTGCGTTGGTCGGCAATGCTTCTGCCGCATACAACATCGTCTACCGCACCACAGACAGCCAATATCGCCCTTCGTGGGCTGTAACCACTGTCTTCATTCCCTCCAAGCCTCGTCCCGGCAACTCTTCCCTACTCTCCTACCAAATCGCATATGACTCCCACAGCATTAACGCCAGCCCCAGCTACGCCATGTACACCTCCCCTCCTATCGATGTCTCCATCGCGCTGAGCCAGGGCTGGTACGTCAATGTTCCGGACTACGAAGGTCCTCTGGCATCCTTCACGGCGGGCGTTCAATCGGGCCACGCAACGCTCGACTCCATCCGCAGTATCCTGAAGTCCAACACCACTGCCTTCAACATTAAAGCTTCATCCTCCCGCACAGCTCTATGGGGATACTCCGGCGGTGCCCTCGCCAGCGAATGGGCAACCGAGTTACAGGGACAATACGCGCCCGAACTCTCTCTTGCCGGAGCAGCACTCGGCGGTCTCACACCCAACATTACAAATGTAATGAACACCGTCACAGGGAACCTCAACGCAGGACTCATCCCAGAAGCAGTCCTCGGTCTGGCCAGTCAATACCCAGCCACCTACGACTACTTGGTGAACGAATTAAACCCAGAGGGAACGCATAACCGCACGACCTTCCTCCTATCCCGAAACATGACTCTGGCCCAGGCGGAGGCCTTCTTCGCGGGACAGAATGTTTACGAGTATTTTGCCAACGGCAGTGACACCTTCAAGGCTCCTGTGGTGCAGCATGCGCTGAATCGCGACGGGTATATGGGATATCATGGCGTGCCGCAGACCCCCATCTATGCGTATAAGGCGATTCATGATGAAGTCAGTCCGATCAGCGATACGGATGCGTTGTTGGAAAGGTACTGTGGCGTCGGCGTGAATATCTTGTATGAGCGGAATACTATTGGCGGTCATTCTGCGGAGGGTACAAATGGCCATGCGAGGGCGCTGCAGTTTGTATCCTCTGTTTTGGATGGGTCGTATGCTAGTCAATATCAGACTATGGGATGCACGTTCAGGGATGTTTCGGTTAATATCACTGATTCGGCGCTGTGAAATGATGCTGCCGTGTTGTTATAGATATGGGTGATGCTTTTATGGTTGTATAGTATTATTATGACTGATTGAACATTTTCATATGGTTAATAATATTGCGCAGGGCTTGTATAAGTATATATAATTTGAGTTTGTTTTTGATCTGTACTTATGAACTAAATCTGGGGAAAAGTGAGTTGTCCTATTCATCAGAATGTAATCTCCACACTTTCATTATATACTTATTCGTTCTTTTCCATATAATGTTCCAACATTCTAGCATCTGTGTCCCAAGAGTTGGTATCAGTCTTGTTTGATATCTCGTTTTCGTATATAATTGTCCGGATTATCACCTACTCCGACACCGGTGCTTACCTTTTTCCTAATTCTATCAGTAGGCGAGGCGGTAAAGGATCTTCGTGAAAAATACCCATTGCGGAGGGACGGGAAGGAATCAAATTGCCGGTCTTTCATTGGGCCTGCATGCGGGATGATGGAAAAACAAAAGAACAAAGGAAAACGTTGGCTGAACTTTATCCGGAAAGGCAATTTATTCGACTCGCGGGGCCTTTGCTTAGGGTTTCTAACGTATCTTGATAGAATCTGAAGTGTTTTTATGACAGGAGGCGGATGCTGGTATTTTTCTGTGAATTCGATTTAGGAGGGTTATGGCCCCCTAGTAAAATATGTATTTACTTTCGATTGAATAGAGTATTGATCAATCTGGTCGTGGCATGTCGTTCATATCAAAACCTGAATACCCAAGAGAAACAAAGCTCCATGTGGTCCATTATTCCATCGCTAAAGACAATAATAAGAAAAGAACTGAATGTTCATGGTTCACCTAATGTCTCAAGGCGACCTTGGTTCCATTTCTCGAACACAATGTCAAGGTCAAGTTCTCCTCCCACGGGCCTGGATCCCGACTTTCGAGAACGGAGAACTGCTGTGCAAGACGCACGGTGACGTAGCCGGCTTCGGTCAGTGCATATTGTTGGCCGACACAGATACGGGGCCCACCGTTGAAGGGCAGGTACTCCCATGACGGTCGCAGATCGGCCCAGCGCTCAGGACGGTACTCGTTCGCATCGGGGCCATAGAAGTCTTCACGACGGTGCATCGAGTATACGCTGTAAGCAACGATGGAGCCCTTGGGGACGAAAACAGGCGCTTGGCCATCCGGGCCGCCACCGACGGGAAGGACCGTATCATTGACGGCGAAGCGGGCGTTGGAGGGGACGACGGGGTGCATACGCAGGGCTGATTGGTTAGTCGATGGAAGAACAGAAAAAAA